CACGCACACACACGCACGCACGCACGCACGCACGCACGCACACACACACACACACACACACACCGTACGTAGGTACATACAGGCACGTGTACATACGGCATGCGTGCTACATGCATGCATACATACATCCATGCACGCCTAGACACACGCATTCTTATTTGCATACATACCTACTTACATACATAGTTACATGCATACATACACAAACTTCCATGTCTGCATAATCCAAACCCACCTTACGTAAGTATGCAACCATACATATATACGTACCTACATGCCTGCACCTCCCTCCCTCCCTCCCTCCCTCCCTGCCTACCTACCTACCTACCTACCTGCCTACCTACATTAAAAGCGCTTGCAGCAGCAACCTGTGGAAAAGTATTACGAACCGCCTTATTCATATGCTCGCTTCTCCCAGCCGCGTAGGCAGTCCGACCGTTGCTACTTGATAGCTTTGGCAATGCGTAGGCTTTAAGGATACCACGACTCATGCTTCAACAGAACTCTGCCGTCTGAACCTATTCGCCTTGAATACCACGCAATCGAAATTCAGCAACATTCCGAGACCACCGAACTACCAGGGTTTACAAGTTGGGGTCAGCAAGGCATCATTCTTTTCATCATTCGCAGCATCTTTGCAGGTTTTTTGAAGAACGGACGCACAAACACGCGATTGAACGTTTCCAGCTTTCTGCCGTGGCCTAAGACACAACCCAGATTGCAAGCTTACACAATACGTCGATGGATCCGCACCCAAGGCTCTGACTGTGTCTCAGATGCGGTTGCGGCCCTGCCATGTCAGGTCGAGGTTTCGGGTTCAGAGAAACCCGGCTCATTTAAGGTTTTCGGATGTAGTGGCCGCCATTTTGCCAGTTTAAAAGTTACAACAACATGCAATAGAAATGATGAGCAGCGGCAGATGCTGGCCAAAGATACAATAGGCCCTACACAGAAATCGTACGAAGCTGTCGCTGGGCCATTGAGAAAATACGTAGAAGTTGCCAACATGATACTGGGGCACCTATGCAAGTTTCAAAGTTCGGGGCTTCAAGGTGAGAAAACCCTAGAAAGATTCCCGCAGTGCAACAATTGCTTGCGATTGCCCAGCCCGACTCCTCAACGAAACATGCCAGAATGCTGAAGGCTTGTCTACCAGGTTGCCAGAAAAAACCTGCCCGAATCTGGCATGATGCACGAGTCGATTCCGAACGCTGGAAACCTTGGTCACCAACAGCTTGGACACTTCGCCGTACCGCATTTCCCAGTAGAGTCTCTGTGGTCGAAATCCAACACATGCACTTGCGAACGGCAGCCCCTGCGATGACGAGCTCGGATGCCCGTTGAGATACTCCTCGCAGCAGAATGCGCGGTATCAACCGAAATGCACAAGTTTGCCGACCGGGAGGTTTTGGGCAGGAGGCTTTGGGCTGTACCAAAAGCGAACACGACATCCGGGCAATTCAAGACGCTTAAGCCCAGTACCCTGGCCCAAAACAGTTTAAACTTTTCCTTTAGTAGGGGTTTAATATACCAAAAAAGTTTAAAGTTTACCTCTTGGGCTCCTAAGAAGAGTCGGAGCTGTACACCGATTGCGCGACAAACATCGCCTCCTCAGCGTTCCGTTTTGTTGAAACCTTGGTGTCCTAAGCTTTACATATGAACCTTAAGGGGGTCAATGATGATGCCGTAGAAACCGCCAGCGGCACAAAACCGTGAATCGCATGTGTCTTGCGAGGGCTAACTGTAGGCATCGCCGGATGCTACCGTCAGAACAAGCATGAACGAAATAAATATGTTCGAGGTTCACACCTCGTACATGTGTTTGTGATGTCAGCTTATGCCCAGCTTTCGTAAGCCTGATCTACCCCGGCCGACACAGCATCAGGGCCAACCTGAAGTTTCAGTTCATCACGAATTGGCTTTGTACAGACCTGCTGTTGTTGTCCTTCTCGTGCTTCTGTTCTTCAGCAGTTTGCGCCACCGTAACATGTATATCACGATTTTCGGATACGCGATTGCGTACGCCGTACGCACTGCTTCGCGACGTTGCCGGAGTCCTGCTCGCATTTGCGTTTGCTTCTCAAGTATAAGACAGGGCCCGCACTTGCTTCGCAATCTATTCACTTTAGAGAAGGTTTACGTTTATGATCAAAATCAAGCCGAAACCCCAAACCCGAAAGCCTAAACTAGGCTGCAGGGTCTCTTTTCTGGGCTTTGCAGGTGCCTCTGTTGCGGAGCCTTCAGGATTCGATGAACCTTCTTGGGGTTTACGGCTCAGCGACTAGGGTTTAGGGTAAATCTGATATGGGGCTTTCCGAAAATAGGAGACCCTCATATAGGACCCTAAATAGTAGGATCCCTATTGTAAGGACCCCAAAGTAAGGGACCCCTCATATTCGGAAACTTCCGTATAGGATTTTCGGTTTGAAACTGAGGCTCCGCTCCTCTTGGAGGCTCTGAAAAGCTACGAAGAGCTTTACAATGCCCGACAATAAACCCGAAGCCCTTAACATGCCCTACATACTCTTCGAGTGCTATTTATACCCTTAACCCTAAAACCCTAAAGCCCTAAAGCCCCAAGGCCCTAAAACCCTAAAGCCCTAAGACCCTAAAAACCCTAAAACCCTAAGACCCTAAAAACCCTAAGACCCTAAAACCCTCAAACCCTATACCTTGAAGTGTTTAGTTGGATTGGCAAGGTGCAGGTCTCGGCCTGTGCCTTGTGGCTAGGGGCTGCAAGCACACTGGGGCCGTAATATAAAGGCCTAAATAATTGAGTTTAGGTTTAGAGTTAAGGGCAAATACTATTTTGGGGCTCCTTCGCTTAATTGAAGTCTGATCTACACCAAGAGCCCATTCTAATTCTGACCGCCCCTAAATTAGTTCGGCTTGAGGGATCCCGTTGCCAGCATATGCGACGCAACTTCCTGAACACCCTACACCCTAAACCCCTAAGCCCTACACCCTAAACCCTTAAACCCTAAACAATGAACCCTACTACAAAGAACTCTTGCACGCTGCTTGACAAAGAACCTGGGAGTCGGGGCCTAATAATTCGAATGGGCTTCCTATCCCAGGTTTGGGTTTAGGGTTTAGGGTTTAGGGTTTAGGGTTTACGGTTTACGGTTTACGGTTTAGGGTTTAGGGTTTAGGGATTAGAATGGGCTTCCTTCCCCAGGTTTGGGGATTTCAATCTCAGGATTCAGGTGCTTGGGTGGGATCAGATTGTAAGTTTCTCATCCGCCTCTTTTCCGGACCCTCATGGGGATCCTGCTAATTCGGTGCGAAATATCTTATGATATTGCCTGTAAGCCCTAGGCGCTAAGCCCTAACGCCTTCGATCCTTTGCTGAATCAATACGTAGTAGAGAGCCTGGAGGAATCCGTGGAGTCGTTGACTGAACCCTAGGGGTCCAAGTGCCTAACAATCATGTGCTACCGCCCGAAACCTGTGTACCTGATTATTGGGTCCTCTGAACGCTTAAGGAAGCTTGCAAAGCCCTGTGCTTCACAACACTCTTACTGGTCTGCAGCGGCCCCTATATAATCCCTTATACTAGTCCGTCTACTTCCTCTTCCACTCGCCCTGAAGCACCAGTGGGAGACTGAAAAATCATACTGTAAATCCTGCATCCTACAACACTGCTTTGACCTGAACCCTAAAGGCATTCCCCTAAACACCAACACCTTGTTACCTGCACCTGCACCGGAAGTGAACATGCAAGCACCGAAAACACAGCGAAAGCACTGAGGAACTCATTTATAGGGGCCTTATTGATCAGAATCAGGTTGTTGAGCTGTTCTTATAGTATATACAATGGTACAGGGACTGTCTGGTGTTTTTTCCTCCTGATTTTTCCGACCTCGAAGTACTATGGGATTTTACAGGGTTGAACGCGGGTTCCGCAGGGTCCTGGCTGAGTTTTAGGAGTTTCATGGTAGGGCTGGTGCAGGGTTTACCATGGCTGGGGTTCTAGGAGGGGGGTTTCAGGGTTTAGGGCTTTAGGGGTTTAGGGGTTTAGGGGTTTAGAGGTTTAGGGTTTAGGGGTCAGGGTTTAGGGGTCAGTATTTGGGGGTTTTGGGTTTTTGCTTTGTCGGCTGGAGTTTGGGGTCTAAGGATTTACACTTTGCAAGGCTTGGTCAGGCCATGGGGGGGTTGCAAATCAGACCCGATTTCGGTGGAGGTCTCTGGGGCGCATGCTGCACCTGCAAGTAAGTTGGGCCTGATCCCC